TGACAAAGGGAAAACACTGAAAGGGTTTGGTTGGCACTGACCTTGACTTTTGAAGTTGTAGTTCACCTACATCCAGAGAGCACTGTGGACTCAAACAAAGATGGATCTGGACCAAACTTGGCACAAATACCCAATATACCCAGATGTAAACACTGGTGGAGTTTAGGGAAAATAGACTTTGACATTTGGGAGATGTAGTTGCTGGGATATATAGATCACGCCACCAATGATGGAATTGAACCAATCTTGGCACACAGAGTTTGAGGGAAATAGACCTTGACATTTGGGAGATGTAGTTGCTGGAATGTATAGTTCACCTACAATCAAAGAGCATTCTGTGTGCCAAGAAAATACTGGAAGGGTTTGGTGGGCAGTGTCCTTTGGTTTTGAAGTTGTAGTTCACCTACATCCAGAGATCACTGTGGACTCAAACAATGATGGATCTGGACCAAACTTGGCACAAATACACAATATGCCCAAATGTGAATACTGGTGGAGTTTGTGGAAATTAGAATCTTGACATTTGGGAGTTGTAGTTGATGGGATTTATAGTTCACCTACAATCACAGAGCATTCTGAACCCCACCAATGATAGAATTGGGCCAAACCTCCCACACAGAACCCCTGTGTGGGCCACAGCAACGCATGGCAGGGGACTGCTAGTCCAGTCCTAAAAATATGGGATACATCCTGATATAAAGAGATGATATCCCAATGTGATAAGATCCCTAGTCCCACACTATGTACTTCTTTGGTCAGACCTCACCTGGATTAATGCTGTGTCCATTTCTGGACACAGAACAATTCAAGGTATGGATATGGTCAAGGTGGAAAGGCTACCCAAAATAATTTGGACATCTACCTATGTGACACCTTTTCACCCAAATGCAGCTTAGCCAAAATAAATCCATCAACTGATTATTAAAGAAAGGAATGTTCTATAGAAAAAGCTACTTCAACAGTACATTCCAAAGAATACATAAAAGGGAAAAGCAGAAGTACATCCCAAATACTGGCTTCAAAAATCATTCCAAAATACAGGTTACAATCATAATATTCTTGATGCAGCAAACAGCAGGTTTGAGAAAGGCTGGCGAACTAGGGCTCACCCTCAAATGCAAGCTCACCTTCTGCTCATGAGTTACAGGTAACTATCAGGTGGATGGAGTGATGGAAGGTGGTGGCTGCACACCTGTCCTCCTCCTCCTCTGGTCCCAACGCAGGAGACACAAAGTGCTGTTCCGTGCGAAACCCCCTCCCTAGCTCGGCCTTCCTACCCCTTTAGGGGCCCAGTGAACTGGTGCTAATGCGGTGCGATGGGCGCATGAAAAATTCATGACTCGCATGTGGTGGGAGTAGTGGGAGTGCTGGATTGGGGGTGGGTGGGCACTGACTCAGTGCTTGTGGGAGAAGGAGAGCCATGTCCCCTTCCTCAATCTGGGGGTCGGAACCCCTGGGGGGGGGCATCAGGGGGTGTCAGAGGGGTTGCCAAAGCCCATCAGAACACACAGTATTATCTGTTGGTCATGAGGGTTCTGTGTGGGAAGCTTGGCCCAATTCTCTCATTGGTGGGGCTCAGAGTGCTCTTTGATTGTAGGTGAACTATAAATCCCAGCAACTACAATTCTCAAATGTCAAGGTAGGTATATTTTCCCTAAACTCCACCAGTGTTCACATTGAGGCATATTGAGTATACATGCCAAGTTTGGTCCAGATCCATCATTGTTTGAGTTCACAGTGCTCTCTGGATGTAGGTGAACTATAACTTCAAAATTTATTTATTTATTTATTTACAACATTTCTACCTCGCCCTTCTCAACACGGCTAACACAGGCAGCAATTCGATGCCACAATATCAATAAACAACAGTATAAAACCATAAATGCATAAAAGGTTAAAAACAGTAACATTAATTATATAATCACATAACCACATAGCCGTTTCCAATTATCATAACAGTCATATGGTCCAGTTCCATGTTCGAAGTGCTGCTGCGCCAGCTAGCCAAAAGCCTGGTTCCAAAACCAGGAGGGAGGACACCGATCTAATCTCACTGGGGATCGAATTCCACAAGTGGGGGGTCACCACCGAGAAGGCCCTGTCCCTTGTCTCCACCAGACACTTTTGCAAGGCTGGTGGGAGCGAGAGCAGGGCCTCCTGCTCTCAAGATCAATGCCCACCAAACCCTTCCAGTGTTTTCTGTATTTTCTGTTGGTCATGGGAGTTCTGTGTGCCAAGTTTGGTTCAATTCCATCATTGGTGGAGTTCAGAATGCTCTTTGATTGTAGGTGACTTATAAATCCCAGCAACTACAACTTCCAAATGACAAAAACAACGACCCCCCCCCCACCCCACCAGTATTCAAATTTGGGCGTATGGGTATTTGTGCCAAATTTGGTCCAGTGAAAAAATATATCCTGCACATCAGATATTTACTAATAAAATAATAATAATAATAATAATAATAATAATAATAATAGAAAATGCCATCAAAGCCAGATTGAAAAGTCAACAACAGATCCCAAATGTAGACTCTGCAAGGAAGCAGATGAAACATAGATCACATCCTCAGCTGCTGCAAGAAGATGCGCACAGACAGATTACAAGCAGAGGCATAACACCGTTGCTCAGATGATTCATTGGAACTTGTGCCACAAATACCATCTGCCTGTGAACAAAGAACTGGTGGGATCACAAGCCAGAAAAAGTTACAGAGAATGAACACGCCAAACTCCTCTGGGACTTTGAATTCAGACAGACAGAGTTTTGGAGCACAATACTCCTGACCTCACAATCGTGTTAAAAAACAAAGTATGGATTGTCGATGTTGCAATCCCAGGTGACAGCAGGATTGCAGAGAAACAACTGGAAAAGCTGACACAATATGAGGATTTAAAGATCGAACTGCAAAGACTCTGGCACAAACCAGTAAAGGTGGTCCCAGTGGTGATCGGCACACTGGGTGCGGTGCCTAAAGACCTTGGCCTGCACTTAAACACAATTCGGCGCTGACAAAATTACCATCTGCCATGTGCAGAAGACCGCTGACAGATTTACCATCTGCCAGCTGCAAAGGCCACCTTTGGGATCTGCACGCATTATTCGCCAATACATCACACATCCTAGACACTTGGAAGTGTCCACATGTGATCCAATACAACAGCAGCAGAGTGTCTGCTGTGGACTCATCTTGTGTGTTTCAAATAAATAATAATAATAATAATAATAATAATAATAATAATAATAATAATAATAATAATACATCACACAGTCCTAGAACACTTGGAAAGTGTCTGACGTGTGATCCAATACAACAACCAGCAGAGTGATCTTGTCAACTGTTGACTCATCTTGTTGTATTTCAAATAATAATAATAATAATAATAATAATAATAATAATAATAATAATATGATCCAATACATCACACAGTGGGAAGTGTCCGAAGTGTGATCCAATTCAACAGCCAGCAGAGTGTCTGCTGTGAACTCATCTTGTTGTGTTTCAAATAATAATAATAATAATAATAATAATAATAATAATAATAATAATAACAGTCCTAGACACTTGGAAAGTGTCCGACACGCGATCCAATACAACAACCAGCACAGTGATCTTGTTTGCTGTGTAATAATCTAGTTGTGTTTCAAATAATAACAATATAATAATAATAATAATAATAATAATAATAATAATAATAATCCTAGACTCTTGGGAAGTGTCCGACGTGTGATCCAATACAACAGCCAGCAGAGTGTCTGCTGTGGACTCATCTTGTTGAGTTTCAAATAATAATAATAATAATAATAATAATAATAATAATAATAATAATAATAATAATAACACTTTATTTGTACCCCGCTACCATTTCAACAGCCAGCAGATGTCTTCTGTGGACTCATCTAGTTGTGTTTCACATAATAATAATAATAATAATAATAATAATAATAATAATAATAATAATACATCACACAGTCCTAGACCCTTGGGAAGTGTCCGATGTGTGATCCAATACAACAGCCAGCAGAGTGTCTTCTGTGGACTCATCTTGTTGTGTTTCTAATAATAATAATAATAATAATAATTAATAATAATACATCACACAGTCCCATACACTTGGGAAGTGTCCGACGTGTGATCCAATACAACAGCCAGCAGAGTGATCTTGTCTGCTGTGGACTCATCTTGTTGTGTTTCAAATAATAATAATAATAATAATAATAATAATAATAATAATAATAATACATCACACAGTCCTAGACACTTGGGAAGTGTCCGACGTGTGATCCAATTCAACAGCCAGCAGAGTGTCTGCTGTGGACTCATCTTGTTGTGTTTCAAATAATAATAATAATAATAATAATAATAATAATAATAATAATAATAATATAATCTTTATTTATACCCCGCCACCGTCTCCCGGTGGCGCAGTGGGTTAAACCCCTGTGCTGGCAGGACTGAAGACTGACAGGCCGCAGGTTCGAAACTGGGGAGAGCGTGGGTGAGCTCCCTCTGCCAGCTCCAGCTCCTCATGCGGGGACATGAGAGAAGCCTCCCACAAGGATGGTAAAAACATCAAAACATCCGGGCGTCCCCTGGGCAACGTCCTTGCAGACGGCCAATTCTCTCACACCAGAAGCGACTTGCAGTTTCTGACACGAACAATGCAATACCATCTCCCCAAAGTGGACTCGGAGCAGCTTACATGAGGCCAAGCTCAGCGATACATTACAGCAACATAAAATATAAACAACAAAATGACATCACAATAAAATAAATAAACCGATCAAGTAAAATCAACAGTACAAAATAACATAATGGAAAATAAAACACAGTTTTATGAATTTTTGCACAATTCATACCAATAGCGAAATGACAGTTATGAAGTAGCAACGAAAATAATGTTATGGTTGGGGGTCACCACAACAGGAGGGACTGTATTCAGGGGTCATGGCATTAGGAAGGTCAAGAAACACTGCTCTAAGAAGCAGGGAGGACCTACCTGTTCACCTGGCCCGCCACATCCTTCCAGGGCTGAGACTCGGCTGCGGAAGTTCTTCTCCTCCTGCAAGAGGAAAGGCAGCAGCAATGAGCGTCCAATCCCCCAGACTCAAAAAGCTTGCGAGCCGGCAGCTGGGAGGCACTGCCCATTCCCTAAGGTTGCTGGGCTGCTCTACAGGAGGGAGGATTGCCTCCTGGCTGTGAACCAACCGAAGCAGACAAATCCCTCCCCGCCTGTGGCAAGCGAGGCGCACGGGTCTGGTGCCACAAGCGGTACGAGATTTGGGCCAGAAACAGAGAGGGCCACCCTCTGTCTAAAGCCCTCAGAGGCATATTGCAATGGTGAACTGACCCAGAAGTGGAAATTCAATAAACCATCTCTAAGTGGAAGGTTTTAAGCCAGAGAGGGAGGCAGCGCGGGCCTCCATTAGGCTCTCGTCACCTTGCTTTCGGCCCCAGGCCCTTTGCAGCGGTGCTCCGATCTCGCAGACAGACAGATGCATTATGAAAGCAAGGGAGTGCCATCAAGAGTGAGCTGCCACCCCCTCCCTCTAATTGCATTGTCCTGCCAAACCCCCTTCCGAAAAAAAAGGATGCTGTGGCCCATCTCGGCTCATCGGTCAGCCAGCGGTCAGTGCCTACCTCTCTCTCCGTTGCTTGCCAAAGCGGACTGCCGGCTGCCGGGCGCTCAGCGAGAGCTCATGATCCCTTTTGTGGCAAGCGACAGCGACGACGACAACGGCGCACACTCGCCCAGGCACGCAAACGGGGGAAGGCTCCAGAGAGGCCGCGGGGCCTGGCAACGGCCTCCCTGCGGCACACGAACGCATGAACGAATGAACGAGAGAGAACGAAAGGCAAGCCCAGCGCTCATCCCACATCCTCCGCTGCATCCAGAGATAGATACAGGCAGCAGGGAGGAGGGCTGTTCCAGCTCCTCCCTGCATTAGGGGACAACAAGCCACACAAACAGGGGTCCCCTAGGACACCCATGTTGCTTTCCTATAGGGAAAAGGATGCTCCTACCTGCAACATAAGAGCCAGTCCTCCCAGCAAAACCCTACATGCCCCATTCAGTTATTGGACGCTTCTTTCCGCCGGCTACAGCTCAAGGGATATTTCCAGGAGAAGGACACTGGACAAGACAGAGCTCCATCAAGCTGTGGCACAGCTACTTAGTATTCAGCTGCATTAAATCACTACTGATCAAGAGATCATGAGTTCGAAGCCAGCCTGGGTCGGAGTGAGCTCCCGACCATTAATAGTCTAGCTTGCTGTTGACCTATGCAGCCCGAAAGACAGTTGCGCCAAGTAGGAAATTTAGGTATCGCTTTATGCAAGGAGGTGTACTTAACTAATTTGCGATGCCATAAAACCTTCCAGCAGCATGCAGAAGAATGAGGAAGTCCTCCATCAAAGGCCTCGGGATTATTATTATTATTATTATTAGATACATAACAAGATGAGTTCACAGCAAACAAGATCCCTATGCTGTCTGTTGTATTGGATCACACATGGGACGCTTCCCAAGTGTCCATGACTATGTGATGTATCAGCAAATAATGCACGCAGATCCCAGCAGGGCGGCCTTTTGCACCTGACAGACGGTAATTTTATCAGTGCTGATTGTGTTTAAGTGCAGGCCAAGGTCTTGAGGCACTGCACCCAGTGTGCCGATCACCACTAGGACACCCTTACCTGGCTTGTGCCAGAGTCTTTGCAGTTCGATCTTTGCAGTTTGATCTGTGTAAGCTTATTATTATTATTATTATTATTATTATTATTATTATTATTATTATCGTTATCATCATCATCATCATTTGTAGTCCCCCTGGATCCCCACATCCACAGGCACGGGGACCCCACAGCACTGCAAAGCCTATGCAGATCTGGTTTTGCAAACACAAATCACTCCTTTACACCTCCGAAACAGGTGGCATCTCAAACACAGCTGAAATAAATGGCATAGTAATGGAGTCCCGTCACCAATCAGGGATTCTTCCAAGGGATTTAAGTCCAGGGCTTTGATAAAGCCTCCCAGTCAAAGCTAGTTTAGAGGAGTTTGGTGGAAACTCCTTCCTTAGACACTTTTAAACGGAGGCTGGATGGCTATCTGTTGGGGTGCTTTAATGGTGCTTTTCCTGCATGGCAGGGCCAGGCTAAAACGCGGAACCTCAAGCCATGGCTGATATTGAATGAGAGACTCCTTGGGCACACAGAAGAAGAAGCCTGTAGTGAAGGCAATGACATCTCCGGCCCATCTTTTGTTTGGGTATCAGCCAGTATGCCAACACCTTAAATCAAGAAACAGCTTCGTAATATCTACAGAGATACTTGCAGGAACAACTCAGCAAGCGAGAGTTCAAAAGTGGCAGGCTAAAACTCAGTGGCTGATGCCGGATGAGAGACTCCTTCCTGGCCACACAGAAGACTGGGCAACTTGGAAGGCAATGAACAGGCCGCACTCTGGAACCATGAGATGCAGAGCCAACCTTAAGAAATGAGGACACCAAGTGGAGTCCACGACATGCGAGTGTGGAGAAGAGACAACCAGATTACCTCTTACAATGCAGCCTGCCACATGCACAATGAGGACCTTCATTCAGCAACACCAAGTGGCCAGCTTCCGGTCAAAGGACACTTAGTATAATACCAAGTTTTTAAACTTTCTGTTTTGTAAATACAGTACAACTGTACCCCTCAGTTCGCTTCTGATACGACAAATAAATAAATACATATTATTAAGACTGGATAGCCATCTGTTGGGGATGCTTTGTTGAGGCTGGATGGCCATCTGTTGAGGTGTTTTGATTGTGCATTTTTAATCAGGCAGAAGGTTGGACTAGATAGCCCATCCAACATCATCATCACCATTATTGAGGGTGGATGGCCATCTGTCAGGATGCTTTGATTATGCTCTTCCTGCACGTCAGGGGGTTGGACTAGACAGCCCATGGGTCTCTTCCAACTATTATTATTATTATTATTATTATTATTATTATTATTATTATTAAGGCTGGATGGCTATTTGCCTGCCTGATTCTGCTTTTCCTTAGATGGCCCTTGGGGGTCTCTACCAACCTCCTCCTCCTTCTCCTCATGATGGTTGGATGGTCATCTGTTGGGAGGGCTTTGATTGTGCTTTTCCTGCCAGGCGGAAGGGGGCTAGACTAGATGACTCTTGGGGGTCTCTTCCAACCTCCTCCTCATCCTTTTTCTTCTTCTTATTGTTATTAAGGCTGAATGGCCATCTGTCAGGAGGGATTTGATTGTGCTTTTCCTGCATGGCAGGGAGTTGGATTAGATGGCCCTTGTGGTCTCTTCCAATTCTATGATTCTATGAAAGAGAAGGAAAGGAAGAATAGAGGGCAGTCTAGAAGTCTATTATTATTATTATTATTATTATTATTATTATTATTAGCTGTACCCGCCACGCTTTGCTGTGGCCAACCTTCACTCTTTCTCTCCTTCCTTCCTTCCTTCCTTCCTTCCCTCCCTCTTTCCTTCCTTCCTTCCTTCCTTCCTTCCTTCCTTCCTTCCTTCCTTCCTTCCTTCCTTCCTGTCTTTCCTTCTCTTCTTCCTTCCTTCTCTATCTCTTTCCTTCCTTCCCCCCTTTTCATTCTCTTCTGCTCTCTCTCTTTTCTTCCTTCTCTCTTTCCTTCTTTCCTTCCCTCCCTCTTTCTCTACATTCCCCCTTCCTTCGGGAGATTCCATCTGAACATGAGGAAGAACTTCCTGACTGTGAGAGCCGTTCAGCAGTGGAACTCTCTGCCCTGGAGTGTGGTGGAGGCTCCTTCTTTGAAACTTTTAAACAGAGGCTGGATGGCCATCTGTCAGGGGTGCTTTTAATGCAATATTCCTGCTTCTTGGCAGGGGGTTTATTTATTTATTTATTTATTTACTTCGCTTATATACCGCAATTCTCAGCCTGACGGCGACTCGTTGCGGTGTACAACATAGAAAACAGGTGCAAAATACAATATACAGTAAAATATCCACAGTACATCATTATCAAAACATCTCATCAAAAACATCAACATTACTACAAGCCATTCCGAGTCATCTCATCGTCAAATTCACAATCCGATACCATTTCCGTTGTTCCATTCCTATGGTCGAGTTACCAGTCATTGCACTTCTATTCAAATGCCTTAATAAACAACCAGGTCTTTAGCTTCCTGCGGAATATCAACAGGGAGGGGCTGGCCTGATGTCTACGGGAAGGGTGTTCCACAGCCGAGGAGCCACCACCGAGAAGGCCCTGTCTCTCGTCGGTTGGACTGGATGGCCCATGAGGTCTCTTCCAACTCTTTGATTCTATGATTCGCTCCCTCTTTCCTTCCTTCTTTCCCTTTTTTATTTCCTTCTCTCCTTCCTTCCTTCCTTCCTTCCTTCTCTAACTTTCCTTCCTTCCCCCTTTTCTTTCCCTCCCTCATTCTCTCATTTCTTCCTTCTCTACGTCTTTCCTTCCTTCCTTCTCTCTTTGCTTCTATGCTTCCTTCTCCCTTTCCTTCCTTCTTTCCCTTTCTTTCTTTTCTCCCCTTCCTTCCCTCTTTCTTCCCTTTTTTCTATATTGTCATTTAGCTTTTTGGGGCTTTTTAAGTCCCTTCTGCAGTGTTTTTATGAGTGAAGGGCATACATTGGGTAGTTAGGTGTCTTGTGACCAAATTTGGTGTCAATTCCTCCAGTGGTTTTTGAGTTCTGTTAATCCCACAAATGAACATTACATTTTTATTTATATAGATTATTATTATTATTATTAGGTTCTTGTGGGTTTTTTTCGGGCTATATGGCCATGTTCTAGAGGCATTTTCTCCTGATGTTTCACCTCACTACCTCTGAGGATGCTTGCCATAGATGCAGGCGAAACGTCAGGAGAAAATGCCTCTAGAATATGGCCATATAGTCCGAAAAAACCCACAAGAACCTAGTGATTCCAGCCATGAAAGCCTTTGACAATACATTATTATTATTATTATTATTATTATTATTATTATTATTATTATTACGTTGATTTATACCTGGCTTTTTCTCTCCACAAAAGAGACTCAAAGCAGCTAGACCTGAGTGTGGCCACCTCCTCTCCTCTCCCAGCCCTTGCAGCTGGACATCATGCTCTCCCAGTACTGTTGTCTCCTTCCTGACCAGTCTCATTGAGTCAGCTGGAAAAGGACTATTATGCTGCAGACAGGAAGGAAACTCCACGGATGGAGGGATTGATGGCCGGATGGAAAGGCCAATGGGTGGAAACCCTCCGTCAGAGCCCTTTCTGTGCGCATCAGCCGGGCAGTGGAGAGCATGAAGGCAGCATTGTCTCTGCCATGACAACAGGGACATCAACCTCAACTGGCCGAAAGAGGAAGCAATGGAAGGCCTGAGCTCAGAGTTTCCATCGGTCAGCGGAAGACTGTTGCTGATCCGAAAGCCAGGCCTGGACTCCTGGATGGACGGCGCTCCGGACACATGCTTTATCTCTCCATACAGAGACTCAAAACAGCTCATAATCAAAAACATTACACAACAGACTTCCCAACCTCTAAGGATGCCTGCCATTTATAATAGACTAGCCGTCCCCTGCCACGCGTTGCTGTGGCCCAGTCTGATGATCCGGAAAATAATGAGAAGGTGTTGATTTCTAATATATGTAATGTATTTGTGCTTGTGGGTAAGAAGTATATCTTGTTTCTTTGTCAGTGTTGATGTGGAGATTGTCTGGTTTGCCTACTCTGGGATATGTAACATATAATGGTCCTTTTTAAGGGGTCCCTTTCAAATCTATGATACTCTATCTGTGTGTGTGAATCATATCTATCTATCTATATATATGGCTAGATGGCTCTTTGTCGGGAGGGCTTTGATTACGTTTTCTTGCCCTGGTGAAGGGAGTTGGACTGGATGGCCTTAAGTATTTTCTGTTGGTCGTGGGGGTTCAGTGTGGGAAGTTTTTCCCAATTCTCTCGTTCGTGAGGTTCAGAATGCTCTTTGATTGTAGGTGAACTATACATCCCAGCAACGACAACTCCTACATGTCATGGTCTATTCTCTCCAAACTCCATCTGTGTTCATATTTGGGCATATGCAATATTCGTGCCAAGTTGACTCATCATTGTGTGAGTCCACAGTGCTCTCTGGATGTAGGTGAACTACAACTCCCAAACTCAAGGTCAATGCCCACCAAACTCTTCTAGTGTTTTCTGTTGGTCATGAGAGTTCTG